AGGAAGCAGCCGATCAATGATTCTCTCTCATCATTGATGTTACCATCTCTCTCTCCCTCTCTCTTCTTCTCTGAAATCAATAAAAAAAATATTTAAAATAAATAAATAAATAAAGGTTTAAAAAAAAAAAAGGGAGGAGGAAGAGGCCAAAGACAATGTGCCAATGGAAAAGCTTCTGCCAAAGAAAGAGTAACTATCTTCCTCCTCCTCTTCCTCCTATCTGTAACTTCCTCCTTCAGTACTCACAATTCAGATTGTTATAAATACTGTAACATTTTGGAAGCATATATCTTATGATTTCTTGGACAGATCTATTCAAATATTCTTTAGCCTAATTACCCAGATTTTAAAATTTGGATAATATGGTCACCAAGTTAATAATAATTTGGTATACACTAATTTTTCTTTGTTTTGTTTATTGATTTTTAAATTTTAATCTTCATATTATGGAGAATTTAAAACATACAAAAGTAAACAGAGTAGTATAATGAATCTCTATGTACTTATCACCCAGCCCAACACAATCAACCCAAGATCAAACCTGCCCCATTCATGTCCATATCTATTTTCTCCCCCCAGAAGTGACTCATCACTTTTGCCATAGTCTGTCTTTAGATGCAGGCTACTACTAGGTCCAGTCCACACACAAGTGGAGAGACTTACATAAGGATGTGAATACTAGGAGGCGAGGATCATTAAGAGCCACCTTACAATTTACCTAACCACACATACATACCCTTATTCATATATGTGTAACTCAGATATGCACTACTCAACTAATGCAGCTATTCCATATGCAATGAAAAGCAAACCCTCCCTCCCTAAAAGGAGATAATACAGATTCTTCCAGTTATTCTGTCCAGCTCCAAATCTCTGATCTAGAAAACTATAAAAGTGAATTTTAATTATTCTTCTCCCCCTCCCTATATTCCTAATTTACAGTGACAAGGGGAAAACAGGAGAGCTTCAGTGAAAACAGTTGGTAAAAGGGGAGCCCTAACCGGTTTGGCTCAGTGGATAGAGCGTCGGCCTGCGGACTGAAAGGTCCCAGGTTCGATTCCGGACAGGGTCATGTACCTTGGTTGCAGGCACATCCCCAGTAGGAGGTGTGCAGGAGGCAGCTGATTGATGTTTCTCTCTCATCGATGTTTCTAAGTGTCTATCCCTCTCCCTTCCTCTCTGTGAAAAATCAATAAAATATATTTTTTTAAAAAGGGGGGGTAGAAGAGAAGACAACAGTGATTGCCAGGTCCATAGCTAAAATGCAGCCAGCCAGTAATATCCTGAGAACCCGAGACCTCTTTTTCTTAGCAATAGAGTTAGTTGCTTGGTTAATTTGGCAGTTCTAGTTTATCTTTCTGGGACAGTCTCCCACTTGGAAGGCTTCTTTCTGGAAACTGTTCATTTTAGTAGCCCACTTAATTAATAATTTTTATCCCCTAATGGAAGAAATTGAGGATTGATTGGTTGGTTGATTTACTTATTTATAATTGACCTGCACAATGATATTCAGAGAACCCTAATAGAACCCCATTATAGTGCAAATTCTTTTCTTCTTCCACTCCACCTTTCCCCTTCGGTAACCCTCAGCTTGTTCTCTGTATCTGTGGGCCTGTTTGTTTCATTTTGTTTATTCATTTGTTTTGTTTTAGATTTCACATATAACTGAATCATACAGCATTTATCTTTCTTTGTCTGACTTATTTCACTTAGCATTATTCTCTAGATCTCTCCATGTTGTTGCAAATGGCAATATTCTATTCTTTTTTCTTGCTGAGTAATATTCTATTGGAGAGACCTAGAGTATATATGTGACTACACACACACACACACACACACACACACACACACACACACACACACATATATAGAAAACATCACCTTTATCCATTCATCTACCGATGGACACTAGGTTGCTTCTATATCTTGGCGATTGTAACTAATGCTACAGTTACATAAGGATTCATATATCTTTTCAAATTAGTGTTTTTGGTTTTTTGCATAAATACCCAGAGGTAGAAATAGCCCACTTAATTTTGTTGTGAGGTGGGATCACGGATTGCCATAAGGACTGATTTATCACAACTTTTTGTTTGCCTGGTTTAGAATTTTACAATTTCTTTTTTAACATATAATTTTTATTGATTTCAGAGAGGAAGGGAGAGAGATAGATAGAAACATTAATGATGAGAGAGAATCACTGATTGGCTGCCTCCTGCACGCCCCCTATTGGGGGGGGATCGAGCCCGCAACCCGGGCATGTGTCCTTGGCCAGAATCGAACCTGGGACCCTTTAGTCTGCAGGCCGATGTTCTATCCACTGAGCCAAGCCAACTAGGGCTAGAATTTTACAATTTCATTAGAAACTTAATAGACTGTTGGTTGGTTTGTGTTTCATTGACTCAGAAACGAGAGATCATGTTGAGTCATAATTCTTGAATTTAGACCTTCACCTGGCAGCAGGCTACATTGCCCTTCCTGAATCCCTGTTCCTCTGCTTTTGTGTGACCCAGTAACCTTGAGAGAGAAGGTTTCTTAATCTGCTCCTTGCCTCCCAGTGGAGACTTTTTTCCAAAAGGGATAGTTGATGTCTTTGTTAGGAGGAAGTGCCTGGAAGGCAGAGGGTAAAGGAGGAGAGATTTCTCAGGTCTCCAGTTTACCTCTTTCCTGCCACTCTTAATTTAGCTTAGGCACTGCTTTGATTTTTAATAGTTGCAGAAGTTCAACATTATTTGATTCTTAGTTTTATCTTCTGTAAAGATTAAGAGTTAATAATAGAGTGCTTTTGAGAATTAAATGTGATAATGTATGTAAAACAAAAATAATTGGTAGCTATTGCTATGATTATAGTTAATTATAGGATTAAATGGGTATTTTGGAAATGAGGAAACAGAGTTTTTGGATTTATGTCAATCTGAGGACATAAATGTTGTGGTCAGGTACAAGTATTAGGTAATACAAGTATCAAGAGGTTAATCCTGAATCTTTCCAGAATTGAACAGAATAATGGATGCAATTTAAAGTTCTCTCAGGACATTTTTGATGTGGGATTCACTATAGATTTGAAATTTTAACGGCAATTATCACTGTATCTTTAGTTTTGTTATTATAGCTGGGATATTTTGTTCCTGTTTGGTTCTAGTATTCCAGATTCACAAAAAAGAGAATTCCTCCATGTAAAGCTTTAGGCAAATATGAATTTTAAGAAATCTGTATATAATTTGAATAACAGCAGAGACCTATACAATCAGGTTTTTAAATATTGAATGTTCCAAACCTGTATTAAGAGCCAGTTAGTTTCCCTGGGTATCATATTGCTATAAAGAAACTACCATATAACATCCTTTAAAAACTTTTATTTCACTCCATTAGCTTTAAAATGTTTCCAGCAAGGATGGCATTTTGGACCTTTTAAAAAGTCTCTGGGAGCTCAGACTTCTGGTGAAGCTGGTGTCATAAGTTCTTACTTGGAAGGAATAGATATACCTTTGGCTCCAAA